GAATTGGTGCTGTAGTGTATTTTGTCGTCTAGATGAGGGCCTCTTTTCTTTTTGTAACACAGTTCTTCAACCTTCTCTTATTAGCTACTGATATCTGTGTCCAGCTTCAGCTGCTGCTGCTGTCATGGCTTAGTAGTGAAAACCATGCAGGGGTTGGTCATTGGTGGCATTTGTATTGAGAATTCTGCTAGCTTTATCGTGGCATTTTTAGTGGTTTTCTTACCAAGAGTATTTGGGAGATCAAAATTTAGTGCTCTCGGGTCCGGATGGTTGTGGTGTGTGCGAAACGAGGAAAATCGAAAGGTAGTAGACGTGCCCTACTGTTCTTGTGCATTTTCAAGTCAGATAATTGTGGTGCATGCGATACACGATTGTGACGTATTTGCGTTATGCATGGACCATAATCTTATGATTATAAATCAAATAGTTAAGAACGATCAAATAGTTGAGAACGCGTAAAGCCACCCTTAGCCCTATTGTTTTTTGGTTTTTTTGGTTTCGGTTGCCTCCATGTGAACTGTTGGAACAAGGTTTGACAACCCTGCTGATAGGGTTTTGCACATTTTGGGCCCTCAGTTGGATCCGCAGCAAAGATTTCAGGTATGGTCGAGATACATTAAATAGGGAAAAGTGGATCGGTTTTAATGGGAAATGGGCAGTAGCAGTAGCTTTACCAGCTTTTATCATTTGCTTTCATGAGAGTTAAATTTTGATCTCTCTCTCTCTCCCCTTTTGTATTAAAAAAAAGTGAGGTTTACGTTAGGATGACAATTTTGCCCATATCCATGGGTATTTTACTATCCAACCCAATTAATTGGGTTGGGTATGTAATTCAAATATATGGATATGGGTAAAGTTTGATGGGTTTGTACTCATACCCATTTACTTTGGGTTGGGTTGGGTTTATAACAAATGGATTTGGGTTTGTACCCATGCCCAAATACAAATTACAGTTTGGTATCTAAACTTAATAGATATGCATATTTAGTACCTAAATTTTTTTTTTTTGCATATAAGTCCTCAAAATATCGATAGAAAATTACGTTTTGGTACCTAAATTTTTTTGGTCTTACATTTTGGTACCTAAACATTTCAAGTTTTGCAAATAGGTCCGATTTTTGCATGTGTAGTTAAAACACCCTCAAGTAAATGGATATCCATATCCAACCATACCCATTTAGATCATATCCATATCTAACCCAAACCCATATACAAACCCCAAACCCATACACACATCACCCAAACCCTACCCATAATAAATGGGTCTACTTGGGTTTGGGCAAAATTACCCATGGGTGGGTAAATTGCCATCCTTAGTTTACGTGTCTATTATACGTCGTTTTTTAATTTATAAGTCTATTATAGGGGTGGCAGTCGGTCGGTTTCGGTTTAACCGAAAACCGAAAACCCGGTTATCGGTTAAACCGAGCCACCACTTATAGCCGCCGACCACCGACCGTGAGACTGGTCATGGTTAGCCGGCCAACCGACCGATCGGTTTCGGTTTTAGGCTCGGTTAACCGGCCAACCGGAAAATACCCTTTCTAAAAAAAAAAAAAATTAAAAACAACAAAAATTCAGCACCACTCATTCCTCACCCCCTCTCACTTCTCGATTCTTCTTCCTTTCCAGAGAATGGAAAACAAAAAAAATTAAAAGCAACCTATCTCTCTCCCTACTCTCTCTCGATTCTCACCTTGCCGCCGCCCGCCAAGCCAAAATCGCCGCCGCCCGCTCAATCGCCGACATCCTCTCTCTCTCTCTTCCTCTTTCTTCTCTTCTTCTGCGGGGGCAGGAGCTTCCTCTTTGGTGGCTTCTTCACCTTCTTTCCCATGGGCCATGCAAACAGATCTGCAGGGGCGACGGGCGGCGAGGCGCGCGGCGAGGAGGGCGGCGAGGCGCGCGGCGACGCAGCGGCGAGGAGGGCGGCGAGGCGCGCGGCGGCGAGGCGCGCGGCGGCGAGGCGATGCGCGCGGCGGGGAGGAGGCGATGCGCGCGGCGGTGAGGAGGCGAGACGCGCGGCGGCGGAGACAGGGGAGGGCGGCGAGGCGCACGGGCGGCAAGTTGTGTGTGGCGGTGGAAGAAGGGGTATCGAAGGAGGCAGGGGATGGTGGCCGGGGTCGTCGTCGGAGGGAAGATGCGGGAGGAGGAGGGAGGATGGGGGAGGATCAGAGGATGGGGCTGCTCAACTGCTAGGGTTTAGGGAGGTGGGTGATTTTATTTAGGCCAAAACGGGGTCGTTTAGCGTCGGTCGGTTAGCGTCGGTTAGCCGGTTAACCGCTCTCGGTTTTTCGGCTAACCGCCTAACCCCTGAACCCATCCGACAACCGACCGTAAGCCATTTTTTTCGGTTTCCGGTTAGCCGCTAACCGGCGGTTTTCGGTTCGACCAGCCGGTTAGCCGCTAACCGGCAACCGAACTGACAGCCCTAGTCTATTATACGTCGTTTCATGAAGCTTGGTAGGTTGTTCTTTTCAACCTACACGAAAGGCTGGCTTTGTATAGTTGCATAGTGAACAAATAAAAAATAAAAAAACAAAAGGACACTTATCCATTATTATATACAGTTGTGTTTAAAGCAAATGAGTTTAGAATTTGGATTATTAACCATTTCGAGAGCTTCAATCACGCGTAGATATCATATGTGGTTTCCAAAACTATCCCCAGCTATTAATTAAAGAACGCAAGATTGTGGAAGGTGAACACGCCGGAGGTTGACACTCTAACTCATCCCAGTGTATTGGTACACAAGAAGATAGTATGCAGGTGACTGATAAAGTTCTTCTAGGGAGGTCGTCTGTGATTTTCATAACTATATCAAGGTAATAAGGATTGCAAAATTGGAGGGATTTGGAATGAACGACTAGTACGTAGGTAATTGTGAAGGTGAACACGCTCGAATTCGATGTATTAGTATTTAATTAGTAGGGATGAAGATAGTTTGTAGGAAGTGACTGAGTCCTCCTAAAAGCAAGCACATTTATGGAACCCAGTTTGGGAAGTCGTTAATGGGCCCAAGAAGATAAGGAAGGAAGGTATTGGCCCAGATTCAATACAATAGCGGTCCAATTACTTCCAACCACGTAGTAGAAGATAGACAAAGTTAAATGAAAAATAAAAATCATGAATAAACGACCAAAACGTCAATTCCATAAATCAATTAAAAAAACGTTTATTTTGTCTTATATATTTATAGAGTAATTAAGATCATATTCAATACGTTGAAGATTATTTAATCATAATCTAATCAGGCTGCGTTAGTAATAGGGTGGGCATTGGGTGGGTCGGGTGGATTTTGACCATAAAATGCACCCACCCGCGCTTAAACGGATTGATAATTTTTAACCCACCACCCACCCACATTTAGTCTCGGGTTGGGTCGGGCGGATGGTGGATGATGCGGGTGGGTTTGTGGGTTCACCCACATCACAATTTATATTATATAAAGGAGTCAACTTGACATGATAATAGGTGAAGAGAATCATCAAGGAAAACCAGAAGTTGAAATAGGGCGAAAAATGTCGAATTAGTTCTTAAATTGGATAGAAATTATATTATGAAAGAGTTTTTTACAGATTGAGACGATTATTAGGTGCAAGGAACTAAGGAAAATAATTCCACAAAGGAAAGAGCGTTGATCTAGGCACAAGAATTAGAGGGAAAAGTAAAGGGAAGAAGAGGGGATCTCTATTGGAATGTTGGCTTTGAGGTTCAAACTTCAGGAGCAGTCCGAGTTTATATCTAACGTCTCCACTCCCCTCTCTCTAGCGCCAACGACTTTGATTTTTTTGCTGTTGGGTTGAGCGGGTCACCCGCACACTCACCCACAACCCACCCACCACCCGGCGGATGGCTCCCAGCGCAACCCGTCACCCACCCACAGACCCACCTACTTAATGAAATTCGGGTCAAATGCGGATGGGTCGGCCCAAACCCGCGGATGATCCGCCCGCATGCCCAGCCCTAGTTAGTATAATTGCTTCAAACTTCAAAGAAATGGTTGTATTATTACCGTATACGTAGACGAAAGCTATCTTTTTCTTTCATTCCAGATTAACTAATTGACTGATTCTACATACCGCTAATTCATTATATATTTTGTATAAATTACACGAGCAACAAACATCAATATAAGAATTTGTCGGAGAAATTATGAAAAAAGAAGTAAAAATAACAAAACGAAAGTATGATTAATAACTCTACTTAGAATAATGCTATGATCCATTATAATTTGTTGATAGGATCTAGGCAAAATACCTCTCATGAGTCCCTTCAACAAGAACATATGAACAAACCGATTTTCAAATTTGAGGTTGTATTTTAAATAAAAAAGAAGTAAGAAACTTAAGTTATGCCGGCAACACGTCTATACAGGGTGCGGTACCTACTTATTGGAAAGGGGTGTCGTCGATCATCCTTTCGGCTTTCGCCTGAAAAAATTGTGAATACCCTATACTGTTTTTATAAAAAAAAATTAATACGAAATTTCCGACATCACTTTAATAATTATAGCCGAATCTACTGCGTTAAATGACACTCCTCTTCACAAATCACAACCCTCGGGGCCGTCACGGCATCTCTATCATTGAATATCTCATCTAAACAACCTAATCATTTATTCCCAAAGGGTAAGTAAGATACTTACCATCGAGGTAAATCTACCGTTCTTCAAATCAAATTAATGGAATTCGTTGGATTTTTTTACCATCCCAAAAATTTGGCAGTTACCGCAGCTGTGAAAGGTCCAACATGGCGACCACATTTACATTTTCCTTACTTTCTCACTCGTTGCAGAATTCTCTAGTAGACCAGCTTTATATTATTTTTATTTTTTTATTATCATTACTAATTTTGTAGCATTTTATATTTTTAAAAATTTCTTTCCCCCGATTATATAAACGAAATGAATTCCTAGAAGTTGGAGTCTGCGCTCACTGAGAGAGAGAAGAGAGAGAAAGCAGAAGACCAGAGAAAGAGAAGAAGAAGAAGAAGAAGAAGAAATGGAGCTGGGCGGCCTCCAGAGATCTGCGACGTCTTACCGCCGCCAGGGTTCCTCCGGCCTCGTGTGGGACGACAAGCTCATCGCCGAATTCAGCCGCCAGGCCGACGCCGAAAGGGCTGAAAGAGCCGCCGCCGAAGCAGCCGCCTCCGCCGCGGGCGACGGCGAAGGAGGAGATCCGTCGTCAGCGGCCCCCGATGCCCTCACCGACACCACGAACCTCCAGGTCAAGACCGACGCGCCGCCGTCGGAGCCAGCCAAGATGCGCCGCAGCCACTCCGCCGGCGGCCGCGCGTACCGGTCCGTGAAAGTCGCCTCGTCACCGATTCCCAACGTCGATCCACCTTCCCCCAAGGTCTCCACCTGCTGTGGGATCTTCGCGACGCCCAAGCCACCCACCGACGGCCGACGGCGCCGCGGCGGCAGGCAGCAGCCGCCTCGGAAGCAGATGAAAAAGGCAAGTAATCGCACTTGAATTTTTCCCCCTGAATCTTAGGTCCGAATTTTGCCGATGTGGGTTTAAAGGGGTGAATTCAAAATCCGCTGCCGGGGGCGATCTGTTGAACCACAAAGAAAGGAATCCATCGAAAATGGGGGGAAAATACACCAAATTTCATGGCTTTTCTTCTTCTCTTTCATTTGGGTTTGTTTGTTCTTTTTCTGGGTTTGTATAAAGTTTTTTTCTTTACAGTGGGTTTGGATTGGATTAGCGAGTTTGTGGTTGTACAAAGATCATAGATATGTAGAACGATGAAAGCAGCTGATTTTCAATTCGGAGGTTTCTGAAAGTTTCATGTTTGCCAATTTTAGTCTATCTGTTTTCTTATTTTGGATTGAGAACTCACATGATAAAGCAGCTGATTTTCGATTCGAGGGTTTTCGAAAGTCCTGGATTCGAATTCCAGCTGCGATGTTCCACCAATTTTAGTTCTCTGTTATTCATCTCTGGTTGAGTTATAGATTCATGAGCTGTTTAATCTTTGTGATCATCGATCATTGATCTGATTCAGATCATGAATATCCTAATGATGATTCTTCGGTGATTAAATTTTGGTAATCAATAATTAGCAGAAGGAAAGGGCAGATGGGGGAAGAAAAGGATGGATCCTTTTGGAGGGGGAATCATTCTGGTTGATTACAAAGTTGAATCACATAGCTTGCATTTGTCCTTTTCGGTTGTGTCTTCTTAACCACTTAATTTAATTGGAGGTGAGGGGTAGGTTCATTCTCTCTTTCATTTGGGTAAAATTACATAAACATTCACCAACTTTTGGCTCAACAACAAAATGGGTCTTCAAATTTCAATTTTTGTACAGACAAGTCACCGAAATTTGGACTAAGTGATAATCTATTTGAAAAGTTTTTCATCTGGAGTTTCTTAGTATTACCGCGTTATTTCCTCAAATTTAATAAGAAAATTGAAATAACGCAACCCCTGTTAAGCTATGAGCACCTGGAAGACACCTGGAAAGAACAGGCCATGATGATTTCTAGTAAAGCTGGGAGCGATATTGAACTTAAGAAGTAAAAAAGGCAGAGCGAACTCTCAGAAGTTAAAAAAATTACGTAGAGGAAGAAATCAGAGAGATTTCGAATAAATTAAGGTGAGATCGAATTTAGTTATGACAATAGAGGTACAATTGATTTTGGATATTATTGAAGTCGGGTTCGACAGATGGAAGTTGTGTCCCCAAATCGGTGACAGATAACCGACCGATTGATCCGACCCAATCGATGTCCGCTAACCGATGTCTCCAAATCAATGACGGATGGCAATCGAGTCCCCAAAGCAGTGGAAGATAACTGACAATTAGGTGCGATGAAACCAAAATTGCATTGGATTATCTATCATCCATGTGATGGAACTTTTGCTTGACCCCATAGTGTTTACACCTAAAATATTTTTGGCCTAAATTCAATGCCGTAATAATGAGTCTCGGCATTTAATTCGATGCCGCATGATAAAAAACGGCATCGAGACAAGCGGCATCGCGAGACTAGGAAAGCGGTACCGCAAGGAAGCTCACCGGTACCGCGGACCAGAAAAAGGTACCGCAAGGAAGCTCACTGATACCGCGGTACTGGAAACGACACTGTTTACCAGAAAACAGGATGGGGGCCGAGCACGTAGTATTGGTGTTGGAAAAGGAGTTATTATTATTATTATTATTATTATTATTATTATTATTATTATTATTATTATTATTTTCCTTGTGGGAAGGGGAGAAGCGGTACCGCATGGAGACAAGCGGCACCGCGGGGAGTTAAAACGGTACCGCAAGGAAGCTCAGCGGTACCGCGGTACTGGAAACGATACCGAAAATCAAAAGGGGGCCGCGCGTTTGATGGGGTATTGAAAGAGGAGTTTGTTTATAATTAATTAATATTTTTATTCCTGGTTGGAAGGGGAAAATCGGTACCGCATGGAGACAAGCGGTATCGCGGAGAGTTAAAACGGTACCGCGGATTTAAAAACGGTGCCGCGAGAGCCTGGTAAGCGGTACCGATTAATTAAAAATCATATCGGGCAAGTGACCAAAATTCACCCGGCCCAATGCGAGCGCCGACTGTGGCGCGTTCCATGGATTAATATTTTTTGGCTATATTGGCGGTGTCGTTTAATTCAAAACGGTACCGCGAGTAAGCCCAACGGTACCGCGGATTAGCAAACGACAGTGTTTAAAAAAGAAACAATGTAGCGGAATGGAAAACGACATTTTGTTTGTCGGCGTCGATTAGTGAAAGGTGATGCCGCGGTATTGGTGAAACGACATCGTTGCATGGACAAGGGTGTAGGATTTGGCTCAATGTCGTTTCGCCAAGTTTCTGCAAACAGGAGCGTTTCGATGGCACGTGATTTTTACGCAAAGCAGAAAGAGGAGATCAAGGCAGTTGAGACACGTGGGGTTTCAGGACGGGGCAGTTGAAGAAGCAGTTCTACAGAGCGTGAAGACTATGAAGTTGGTTTTAGATAAAATCAACCCTGCAAGGAGAGAGAATGGACAAACAAAATCAACACAGAAACACATCTGCCAAACTTTACCTTTTTTCTCTGTAACTCCTTCGCGGAGCTCTCCTTCCAGGAAGGATCTCCATAGTTGTAGTCTTAGTCGTAGTCGCGGAGCTCTCCACAGGAATCTCCATAGGAGTAGCGGTAGCGTAGATTCCTCAAAACTCAAACACCCTCGTTCGAACGTAGTTTGGAGAGGTGCGAACCGTAGTAACGGTCGTTCTTGGTTAGAAGTCAGAGGTGCATCGATCAAATCAACACCGCCCGGCGGTGGATATTTGACGGTCACGTTGATTTCATCATTTAGAGGTGCATCGATCAAATCAACGGCGCCGACATTCGGCGGCGGATATTTGACGATCGTCTCGATTTCACCAATCGGCGGTGCATTCGATCAAACGGCACCGCAAGAGTTTCCACCGCGAAACATCAAATCAACATCGCCGGAAACGAATTCTGCACCGGCGGTGGCATTTGGTTTTCCCGAGGAAACATTTTGGCACACCCGGTGGGACACATGTGTTTGAAGTGAAATATGGCTCTGCGGCATGGAAAACACAACGTTGATCTTCCACAAGAATCTGTGAAGGTGGAGCGTGTGGTCGGCATTGAAGTTGACCGAGCAGAGGAGGCAAATAGACATATCGGTTGGATGAAGGAGTGGCCCCAATCCATGTCGAGCATCGATGGGCATGTTGCACTCCTGTCTCTTCGTCGATCTATAGAGGAGTATTACCGGCAGGTAAATCTCTATTTTATCTCTTTAAATAAGCCTTGTGATTCTCTTGGAAGACATATGGATAAATTTTTTGAGATGATAGATGAACATGTTTCCGGTATTGCCAATAAGGATTCACTTAAACTTGTGGCTAAAACAGTGGCGTTAGGGGCCAACAAATCTCATGTTGGTTCTCCTGTGAACACTATTGTTTTGAAAGACAGGAAAGTTAGAGCGGTCTTGCGAAAGCAACAACAAAGAACAAAATTTAAACGTGTTCATAATAAGTTTAAGAAAATTAAGAAGAACAAGTGTGATATCTTGAAAGATGACAAATTTTACCACATTCTTCAATCTAAGCCGCTAGGGGGGCATGCCATCCCAGCTCGTGGTAGATTGAAGGAGAAACAACATCGTGGATGGCAAAGAAGTTGGCCACACCCACCCTGCTCTAGGAAAAATCAAACAATGGTTTCCTCAAATACTCTTCGGTGTGGGGATGGTAACCACGTAGAAAAATCTAATGCCAACAAAGTTGGCATGACTCAACAGGATCGTTCACGTAAATCATCCCTGAAGTTTTTATTGAGTGGACAGGGGGGCAAGTTCGGTCAAGCACGACAGGGAGTTGCAACACCAGTGCTTATGAGGAACAAGTCTGCCATGAGTGGCGGATTGGGGGACAAGTACCATGGCCAACAAACTCCAGTCTCACGTAAGAGTTCGAAAGATGCAAAGTTGTTGTATGATAAGTGCAAAGATCATGGCCGTGGTAAACAAAATACCAACACACGTGTTGAGGGAGCTTGTAAGTCTCGGTGCTCAAACTCCTTACAACATTGTTAGAGGGTACAACTGACAAAACCGGGCCAGTCTGAGCAGGCAATGCGGCATGGTCGACTTGGCAAGACGAAGATGCCAAAAAATGTCAATGTCTTGCCGAGAGCAAAGAACACTAGTGATTTTTCATGCCATCGACCAAAAGTGATGGCTGAGGTGAAGCCTAATCGAGCTCGTGGGATTTCAAACAACGATGTTCGAGCTAGACGAGCTGAAAAGTTGAATTCCAGCACCGACTTCAAACCTTCTCAGTTGTGTGTGAAACCACCTGTGATGAGTCATGGTGTTCAAGGATGGCTTGTTTGGTTTGATCCGTGGAGTTGGCAGTGGGTGTGTACTTTTGGCAGGATGGTTTATGCCAAACCCTACCCTGTTTTGTGTAACTACTATTAAAATAAATATGGCCAAATTAGGCCACGTGATATATATATATATATATATATATATATATATATATATATATATATATATATATAAAAGAGATCGCCAAAACAATAATGGGATCTGTTTTGGGAGAAACGGCTTCGCTATAGTGGGACGTCTATTACTGTTAAGCAATAGCCTTGAAAAAAAATGGCCCAAGCAGCATCGTACCTATGGAAGGTTGTTGCAATTTGGTTTAAATTTGGCGATAGCAATGGTGCGCACCAAACAACGCTGTAAACCAAAGTTAAATTCAACAAGGTAACTCCTACCTTCTTTGCTGCAAGTTTGCTTGGCAATAAACAATGTTGGGTTTTTGTTTTTGTTTTTTTTTAATAGACAAAAACAGCGCTGTTTTGGTGTTTGAAAGATTGGAAGACAAAAACAGCGCTGCAGCTTCGTGTGTTTACACGATGGGGTGAGACCATGCTGCTTAGTGGTTTTAACGATGTGGTTAAAAGAAAAAGGTTCAAAACGCGGCTGC